GGCTGTCAGGAAGACAGCCACTAGAGGCTGGATTAACCCTAGTGTAAACATAGCAGTTTCTCAGAAACTGCTATGTTTACAGCTGCAGGGTTAACACTAGATGGACCTGGCACCCAGACCACTTCATTGAGCAGAAGTAGTGTTGGTGCCTATAATGTCCCTTTAACAAATAAAATCCTTGTGTGGAATCCAATGGAGCCAATATAAAAGATAAAACAAAATGGGACAGGAATACTAATATAGTGTAGTATGTCTATAAAAGCAGAGGCAGAATACAAAGAAAACTATTGCATGCACTCTTTTCTGGAGCTAAAGATCAGCTCCAGATCACAGCGTATGGACAGTACAATCCCCATCTATGGATGTCAGGATATATTTAACGCTTACATACTACACCCAGGGCCGGATTAACATAGGGGCTGATGGAGCTGCAGCTCCAGGCCCAGGCCCATGGAATAGGCCCATTGATTTAAAAAAAAATAATGATTTTTTTTTTTACACATTTTTTTTTTTCACACACTACCCTTAGGGATTCCACCTGGCTTTTATTTTATTGGCACAGCCAGTATTTGAGGCTGCCTGGCTGGTGCCAATACTGCAGTGATACTGGCAATATAAATGCTGGTATTTTTCTCAGTATAAATGGAGATTACTCTGCAATACCAGCACTGGCCAGTAGGGGTCATTGTATGTGGAGACAGGCAGGGATAGGAAGTTCCAGCATATCCCTCCCTGCCTATCTATACTCACTGATCTGCAGGGGAGCAGCTACAGAGAGTCCAGACAGCAACTCCCACCCTGCAGAGACAGCCCACAGCTCAGGGAAGTAAGGGATGGGGGAAAAGGCTGCAAGGAGACATACACTGAGACACTAAGGGGCACTGGGAGACATTATGGCAGACACTGAGACATTAAGGGACATTGGGAGACATTATGACACAGACACATCGGGACACAGTGTCCCCATGTCTCCCAGCCAGTGTCCCTGGTGTTTTAGTGCCCCCTAGTCTCCCAGTGACCCCTAGTCTCCCAGTGCCCCCAGTCTGCCAGTGTCTCACTGTCCCCATGTCTCCTAGTGCCTCCATGTCTCTCAGTGCCTCAAGTGTCACAATGTCCCTAAGCTAGTGTCCCTAGTGTCTGTGGCCCTGGTGTCTCAGTGTCCCCATGTCTCCCAGTGCCCCCATGTCTCAATGTCCCCATGTCCCCCAGCCAGTGTCTCTAGTATCTTTGTCCCTGGTGTCTGTGTCCCCATGTCTTCAAGTGTCCCCTATTTTCCCATTGTCCCTATGTGTCCCAGCCAGAGTCCCCTAGTCTCCCAGTGTCACTGAGACCTGGAGTAATCGACACATGGGGGCACTGAGTCATGAGGGCACTGGGAGACATGGGGGCACTGGGAGGAATCCAGCTATACAGCAGTAGTTTTTTGGTGATTTTACAGCATTTTCTCTTATTTCACTCCTTGTGATTTACATCTTGTGATGTCACCCACACATATTTAATTATGCAAATTAGTAAGGCCGGTGTGTTTTTCCAAGAAAGGTGGCAACCCTAACTACTTTTCACATACTCTTACTTAAGTATGGAAACTTAAGAGGGATCTATGGGAACAAAACTTGTGTGGACTGGCTGACAGTGAATATAGCTAAAGGGACACTATAGTCACCAGAACAACTACAGCTTATTGAATTTGTTCTGGTGAGTAGAATCATTACCATCAGGCTTTTTGCTGTAAGCATGGTCTTTTCAGAGAAAATGCAGTGTTTACATTACATCCTAGTGATAACTTCACTGGCCACTGCTTAGATGACTGTTAGAGATCCTTCCTGGGTCATGGCTGCCTAAAATGCATCCAAACATTCATTGTCTCCTCCCTCTGCATGTAGACACTGAACTTTCCTCATAGAGATTCATTAATTAAATTCATCTATATAAGGAGATGCTGATTGGCCAGGGCTGTGTTTAAATCATGCTGGCTCTGACCCTGATCTGCCTCTTTGTCAGTCTCAGCCAATCCTATGGGGAAGCACTGTGATTGGATCAGGCCACCACTTCTAATGATGTCAACAGACTGCTTGTTTTTATAAGTCTAACAGCATGCAGAGTTACAGCTTCAGGCTTGAATATAGTAGGATTTTACTATATTTATGGAGGCAGGAGGGGCCCAGGGGGGCTAGATGGTGGTGTTAACACTGTAGGGTCATGAATTCATGTTTGTGTTCCTGACCCTATAGTGATCCTTTAAGGTAATGCTGAATTTGGTCTCTCTAACACTGTTCCCTTTCTTCTACACTCACTACATACAGCTTTTCTCTGTCCCAGACCATATACCAGGAGCTTCTGCTTACCTGCTAGTAAGAAGGTAAGGAGACAAGTGGACCAGCTAGTGCTAGGGCACAGTCCTTAGAAAGCGTTGAGTGAGCGCATCATTAGATGCATTTATGCCAAGCTCAGGGTGCTGTCTGCATAGTATGCCCTTAGTTGGCCAGCTGCATGATTGGCAGGCAGCCTGGCATGCATTCATGCCAGGCTGGCCTAATTCTTTGAGCAGACATGTCCTCTTTTTGGGCATGTTCGCCCCTTTTGGCAGGTTACGTGATTTGTGTCAGTGGCACACCCTTTTACCATGCCCATTGACTTCCTGCTTGACTGGACACTGCTGTTAGGGGTTATGGATTTACTTGAAAGATGAAAACATAAATTAGAGAGAGATTAGCCTAGGGTATGTGTTTTCTTATAGCTGCTGTTTTCTTTCTCTCTAGCACCATCTCCATCAGATACATGATGCTTGGGAGTGTTTTACTGTTTTCGGTCGATATGATTCTCTAATTAGGCCCATCATAATTGTCAGCACCAGGCCCAGTGAGCTCTTAATCTGGCCCTGACTACACCATATATATATTTTTTACTTTACAGATTTTTTTATAGAGTGTTTTACTCAGGTTGTATAATATGTTTCTATTATTCACCTATTCGGTGATTGGTTATTTCCAGCTTGACCCTTTTTGGTTGTTTCTGTTTTGCTTTAAACTATTCTAGTGCCTTGAAAGGGAACACTTTTTTTCCTTAAAGGGTCTACCTGTATTCTGGGAGCATATAGTGATTTATTTCTGTGTATTTTATTTTAAAATTGTCTATGCATACTTTTTGTTGTTCGAGATTTTCAGTAGCCAAACCTCCATCAATTTATGGGATGCGAGACATACATATTCTGCTCCTGCTCCGTAAACAAGCAGTCCTGAAGCACATTTCTTTTTAGTAAAACCAATTTGTCCGACAAAATACAAATAAAAAAAAAAGGATGGTCAAATTTTAGCCATATGGCAGTTTGG